TATTCCTTCCTGAAGTCCTCTTGCCCATCCCTGACTGCTTTATCACAGAGGGAAGGAAAGAAAATATGAAGCCTAGAAGATGGATTACAAAATAGCACCCTAAAAGCAACAAAATCTGATCTTCCATATATTATCCTTTCCAAACCACATAAAATTTTACATACCCTGCACTATGCCAAATGTCATATCAACATATTCTTCACAATAATCCTAATATAGTGTTTATAGTAGTGCCCCCACTTTCCAGGTGATGCAACTGAGGCTTGCAGCCTGAGAAATGTGCCCAAGGTTACAAAGCTATTAAGTGGCAGAGAGCCAAGAGTCTTGACTCTAAAACCTATACTATTTACCCACTACTATACTACTTATTACCATAATATAGATGAAAGGGCACTGAGTTTTAGACTTAGCTTCATCCCTTGGGCAAATCACCTGACCTTGCCTAGCAGTGTGTCATCAGTAAATGAGAGCAATGATAGCTGCCCAACCTTCCCTACAGCATCTGAGTGATGCTAAAAGAGTTCATGTATTTGCAAACATGCTATAAAAATGATAGGACACTACATAAATGTAATGTTTTGGCAAGGTAAATCCAAGTATCATATACTTGTAACCTTTGATATGGTTTGTAGAGCTAAAAACAAGTTTAGTAATAGTTAATAACTTTAATGATTTTTATCTTTAATTATGTATAAATGTGTGGGTATGTGAAAGTATCCATGGAGGCCGAGTTTCCTGAAACTGGAGTTACCAGTGGTAGTAAGCCACCTGATGAGTGCTAGGAATTGAACTCTGGTCCTCTGCAAGAGCAGGTGTGTTCTTAATGGCTGAAGCATCTCTCCTACCTTACCCCTAGTCAAATCAATTTTTAACATTCCCAAGAGCAAAAGTTTCGTTTAAAGAAAAAACTGAGACATTTTAGAAAAGACAAAACTATAGAGACAGTTAAATGACAAGTTTGGTAAGATACTCTAGGCTACATAGTAAGACCCTGTCTGGTAATACATACAATGACAACTTGACATGATATAGAAGGCTAAGGTAGGAGGATCAGAATTTTGAGGTCAGCCTGGGCTACACAATGAAATACTATCTCAAAAGACACACCAGAGGCTGGCAAAATGGCTCAGTGGGTAAAGGTAATGTAAAGGTAATTACTGCCAACCTGAGTTTGATTCCTAGGCACCCATGTGGCCAATGTTGTCTTCTGACTACCACACATCTACTATAGCTGACAATTACACACACACACACACACACACACTCACACACCCCTAAATAAATATCATCCAGGCATCAGTTGGTGCCTGCAGTTGTGAAGAATGACTAGGTGGAGCACAGGCTACTCTGGACACATGTCATTATATACTTGTCAAAATTCATACATTGTATAACATCACTGAACCCTGTAAACTATGGGCTTAGTCTGTAATAATGTATCTTTGTTACCTGAACAATTGTAACTAATTGTAACACATTGATTTGGTGCAACGTGTAAATAAAAGAATGGGATATGTGTGAGCAGAAATATGAGAACTCTACTTTCTGCTAAATTTTTCTGTAAATTTACAAACTGCTCAATTGTCTTGATTTTTTTTTTAAGATCACCTTTATGAAATAGTAAGTAATATGAGTAAACTCAATAGTTTTTGGAAAATGCCTGTAATATTTAATAGTGTATATACCTAGCTTCTTAGATCAATGATGTCCAATAGAATTTCACTCAATGATGACAATGGCATGGAGCTAGGTATAGTGGCTCACACCAAAGCTGAGGCAAAAGGATGACTGCAAATTTGAGGCTGGCATGGGTTACATAATGAGTTCCAGGATAACATGGGCTATACAATTGAGAAAAAAACAGAAACCAACCAACCAACCAAACAAACAAACAAAAAAAAAAACCAGAAACTGTACTATATCTTTATAATATGCACTGCAATATTAACTACTGGAGTACTTGAAATTTGGCTAGTATAACTGAAAAGAGGGATTTTAAAACCTCACTTCTCTGTGAGTTCAAGACCAGCCTGGTCTACAAGAGCTAGTTCCAGGACAGCCTCCAAAACTACAGAGAAACCCTGTCTCAGAAAACCAAAGAGGGAAAAAAATAAAAAAAATATTTTTAAATAAATTTTTTAAAAAATGTATTTAATTACAGGCATTGGTGGAGCACACCTTTAATCAAAGCACTCGGGACGCAGAGGCAGGTGGATCTCTGTGAGTTCGAGTCGAGCCTGGTCTACAGAGGGAGTTCCAGGTCAACCTCCAAAACAATACAGAGAAACCTTGTCTCAAAAAAACAAACAAAATCCATAAAAAAAAACAACAACAATAAAAACCAAACCAATAAAACCTTATTGAACCTTAACAAATTGAAGTTGGGCCCAGTGGTGTAGACTATAATCCCCACTATTCAATCCCTATTATTAAAAAAATAATAGATAGCCATGTGGTTAGTGTCTATAATACAAGCAGTTTTAAGACAATTCTTTAAATGACACCTAGAAATAGACTTCAATATTACCTTCAGAAAAGTCACCCCAAGAGCCCAGTCAAATAAATAGTTATGAAACCATGCTATAATTAACTGAGCATGTCAAGAGTGACTAGGCACTTGAGCCCAAGAGTTCAAGGCCAGCCAGATGAGCATAGTAAGATTCTCTTTTTTTAAAAAAGCAGGTGTAGTAACGCCACTTGTATAGTACTTGAGAGGCCAGACCACACAATGCCTCAGAAAAATAAATGACTAGGCAGATGATTTGAACCAGGAACCAACAGAGCCAATCTTCAGTTTTCTTCACTTCAAGTCCTATAATATAACCAAATAATAACAAATCATGTTTTTCAATTCCTCCAATATTTTAAAAACCAACTGAATTTGTTTAACATCATTTCTGCTTCCTGAAAAACAAAAAATATAGAAGTTAAGTTAGAAAAAGGAGTATTTTCTTAGGTTACTAACCTAGAATCAATAATTGAAGATTATAAGTGAGCAATTAAAAATTACAGACATAAGAAGTTCACCCAATTTTGAACTGAAAATTCAAAAACTAATGTTAATTTCTATTCCATTTTATACTCAGATAAAAACCAAAAGAAAGAGCCACAGAAAAGCATGAGCAAAATAATACAAAAACTATAAACATACAAGACTATTTATATCCACATATTAACCAAAGCTCTGAACTTAGTCATTACCTCTTATCCTTGTAGTTTAAAATACTAGTTGATTAAACCTTACTTCCTAATTCAATGACTTTTTGTCCTTATTCCAGTGGCATAAAAGGGAGCTTATGTCCTCAATTGCAGTGGCTTTTTATCACAGTTCTCCCCTGGGGAACCTATGAAATCAAACACTGAGATTGGCTCCCCACCCTCAGGAAATAAATGTCCAAAGTGACAGTGTTGAATCCCAAAAGAAATGCTGGGCCATAGCTTCTTTTCCAGCACTAAAAGCAGTAGATCCTTCTTTTATGAGAGACAGAATAACTTCAAATAACTTAGAGAAAAGCACCAAAAGCTATAGTGGTTGCTCACAGCTGTAATCTCAGCACTCAGGAAAGCAAGGCAAGAGAAGAAGTCCAAGGCAAGCCTGGAGTACATAGTCAATTGGGATCAGCCTGCTACAAGGGGAGAATCCATCTTAAAAAACAAAAAAGTGAGGGAGAAAAGGCACATTCCCCAAAAAGCCAATTCTTGACACTGCTCAAATGTAAACCAGACCTTTGTTCTCCCTTTTGAAGTTCATGAATCGCATTAGAAAAATATTATTTCGTAACTTCATACAGGAGTGGCTTTTAAGATTACTCAAATACATAATTAAGTAATATTAAATAGCCCTCAGTGGTCAAGCAGGGTGTCCAACAAGTCGAGCAGTTTCAGTATGTTCTCCTGCAAGGAAAAAGGATGGGATTTCCACCTTTCCAGTACCGTAAACCCCAGATATCAGTTCCTGGGGCCCAAAAGCCCTGTACCCTATTCGTTGTGCAATCATTGTCAAAACTCCACCCACTGAGCTCTAGAACAAGTGGAATTCTCCCATTCTGAAAGAGATCTCGATTTTCCTGTATCCAGGGAGACACTGAAAACTCCTTGACATGAGTCAAGTAAGGCAAGGGGGAACGGTCCAGCTCTTCTCCTAGATAAAAACAAAAAAACCCAAAAACAACAAAACAAAAAACACCAAAGCCCAAGCCCAGGAAGCACTCAAGTTTCCATTTACCAAATTAAAAAGAAAGAAAAGAAAGAGGGTAGTATCAGGAATGGGGAGACAGCTATCAGACGATGATGCTCATCCGTCAGCATCACCGCCTCATCCCCTGCCTCACGAGCAAGGCAGGTTGGTGATGCCCAGAGCACCAAGCCCTGGCTGTGGGTCCCGGGAGCCCCGCAGCTGTCCCCGCGTAGCCGCCCGCGCAGTGGTGGGGGGAAGGAGGGGGGAGGGAGGAAGGGGCGAAGCGCAGCCCCAGCTCCCGCGCTGTTATCTTACTGCGCAACAGCCTCAGCTCCGAGGCCGGGGAGCACCCCGCAGCGCGCCCTACGCACCTGCCTGTCGCCAAGAGGGCAATCCCGTACCCTAGTGGGCCCCCCTACCCCACTCCGACGCCTCCATGGGCAGCGGAGTCCCAGCGAACAGTGACCACACGGGCTGAGACACAACACCTGACGCCCCGGGGCAGGACCGGCCGCACGTGGCTGTCACACCTGGGGCACCCCTGCCTAGCACCCCTTTGCCCTCCCTGTCGGGGTCCACCCTGCCCTCGCTTAGCCCCCTACCGCCGACTGCCCCCAAGTCCAACCGTCGTCCTTTCCCACCATTCCATTTCAGTTCCACACCCCCCACCTGCTCCCAAGTATCGTCACTCCTCTGAGGGAAAAGGGCCGGATGTTCGTCCCATGGCTAAAGGTAAAGGGGGTAAGTGAAGAGGTGAACCCCGAAAAAGGTAACCCAACCATTCCCGCGACCCAACCACAACGAAGGCATCCCCTCCACTGACCTTCTGCCTGGGACTGCGTCGCCGTCCACCCTGCTCGCCCTCAGTAGCCTCCTCAGTACCGCCGCCTCTTCCCCGCGTTGCCTCCTCAACCCGAGTCGCCATGAGGTGACGGCAGCAGCCAAACAAGCGGCTGGACCAGGGGCACGGAACCTCGCAGGGGCTTCAGCCCCGCCCCCTTCACACCCCAGCCAACCGCGTCATGAGAGTCTACCACGTGACCGGAGGAGGTTGGCTCCTGAGAGAAGGCAGCTTGAAGGGGGTGGGGAGCGTCGAATTCTGGGTTGGGCTTCTGCTAGGACCGAAGGGCAGACAGGAGCCTCTGGAGTCTGCGCAGACAGGAAAAGGGAGTAGACCACAAGTTCCACAAGGCCATGCGGCCATAACGTTCAGCCACGGAACTGTTTAGGGGTGTCCTAGGGGAGAGTACCCGGTGCTCCGCGTGTGCAGCCTACTGGGACTTGTAGTCTCTGAGGGGCAATGTCGCGGTACCGGAAGGTAATCGCTGTTAACCTAGGAGAAAACTTTTTTAAATATTCCAGAGTTTGAGAAAGAATAGAACCAGATACACTTTTTTTGTGTTTCTGATTTTGTTGTTCTTCAGAATTCAATGAGTATGATTTGTGAATAAGGGACTCTGACTTTGCTGTTTTCGAGGTGGAAGTGTAATCTCAGAATTTGAGACATTGGACACTTGCCCAGAGTACAGTCTCTACTAGAGTTCTCACCACGGTTTAACTGTCCGGAGTTCTTTTGGGCTTGAGGCCTGTTCACCTTGGCTGAACTGTTCTGGCTTCCAGCATAGTTCTCCACACTTAGTCCAAGATTAATTCGTGTTGAATGTTTCTTGCTTTCTCCACCATACATTTTACTAGTTAAAAATTTCAGTGAATTTGATTTGCTGAAACAGCTATTTTTCTTGACATGATGGAGAAGGTTCCCCTGCAGACATATATTCCCTGTTCTTATCTGATAGGATCAGATCTTCAGTAGCCTAGCATCTAGAAGTCACAGATCCAGACACTTTTAAAGAATTCATTATAAAGATCCATGCAAATATTCTTTCCTACAATTGAACACAAAGCAATGATAGTATGAGCCAAAAATTAAATAAGTAATAGTAAACTTCAATTAAGCAAATTCTTAGGGAAAAACAGGTTTGTTTTGCTGTTGATTGTTTGAGGTTTTCATTTGGGGTGTGTGTGTGTGTGTGTGTGTGTGTGTGTGTGTGTGTCTGGTTTTGTTTTTCGTTTTTTGTTTTTACCAGACAGGGTTTCTCTATAGCTTTGGAGTGTGTCCTGGAGCTCTGTAGACCAGGCTGTTCTCAAACTCACAGAGATCTGCCTGCCTTTGCCTCCTGAGTGGTGGGATTAAAGGCATGCACCACATGGCTCATTTGTTTTATGGTGCAAGCAATGAATTCATTCATATAACACCAGCACTAAACCAACCTCTGAACTACACTACAACTCAGTTCATTTGAGGAACTTCTTAATTTTAATTACCTTTTAAATTTGTGGAAAGTACCATTATTTGAACACAGCCCACATTTGAGATTTCAAAACAAAAGCATCATTCAAAACACAGATGGTAGATGACAAAGAACCTACAGCCAGACTCTGTATACCATCCCTCATCTTCTAAAAGGAAAACTGTCCCAGTAAGACTTAGAATAAATAGATTAGCAGTGCAATTCTCCATAGCTTTGAGTGACAAAATTATTGTACAATAGAATAACAGGTAGTTACTAAAATTATAAACATTTTTTTACTTAGAAAAAAGATCTCTTTTATGTAGAACAACATGGTAATATAGTTATAATAGATATCAGAAAAATACTCCTCAAACTGGCATGGTGACACAAACTGTTAAAACCAGCACTCAGGAGACCAAGGCGGGAGGAACTCTGTGAGTTTGAGGCTAGTCTGGCCTACACAGTAAGTTCCAGGTCATCCAGGTCTACATAGTTGGACCTTGTCTCAAAAAAAATTAAAAGAAATGGCTGGGCAGTGATTGGGCATGACTTTGGGAGGCAGAGGTAGACAGATCTCTGTGAGCTCCTGGTTACAGAGTGAGTTGCAAGATAGCCAAATCTGTTACACAGAGATAGCTTGTCTTGAAAAATCAAACAAATAAATAAACAAAAAATGAAAATAAGCCTGGCATGGTGGTGCACAACTTTAATCCCAGCATCAGAAAGGCAGAAGTAGGCAGACTACATAGAGAGAAACTGTCTCAAAAAAGAAAAGAAATTACTCCTCATCATGTTAATCTTTTTTTCCTGAGTGGTGAGATTTGATAGCATTTTTAATTCTGACTTTAGGTATTGAGTGTGCCAACTAGGCATGGTGACAAATGTCTGTAATCCCAGCATTTGAGAAACAGAGATTCAGATACATAGTTACTTCCAGGCTAGGCATGGTGATGTATTCAAAGCTAGCCTGGTGCAATAGCTAGTAGCTACATAGCAAGTTCCAGGCCTACCAGAACAACAGTGAGACCCTGTCTCAAACACATGCTCATGCATGTACAAGCATAAACACACACACACACAAAGACAGAGAGAGAGAGAGAGAGAGAGAGTGAAAAAAGAACATACTGTAGCAGAAATTATAAACTTCTTAAGATACGGGGAGGGGGAAGAATACACTGTAGCAGAAATGAGAATGTAACCTTTAAAGCTACATAGAAAGATAGCCTCTGTCAGGTTCATCTCCCACCTCCCTGAATCAAACCAACTTGATTTTGTTTTTGTTTTTTGTTTGAGACAATGTTTTTCTATGTTTCCCTGGCTGTCCTGGAACTCACTATGGTAGACCAAACTGGCCTCAAACACACAGACATCCACCTGCCTCCTAAATGCTTGGATTGAAAGTGTTCACCAATGGCCCCTTTTTCATTTAAGATTTTTTTTTTTAATTTCATGTGCATTGGTGTTTTGCCTGTATGCATGTATATCTGTGTGAGGATATCAAATCCTTTGTAACTGGAGTTACAGACAGCTGTGATCTGGCATGTAGGTGTTGGGAATTGAACACAGGTCCTCTGGAAGAGCAACCACTGCTCTTAACTGCTGAACCATCTTTCCATCCCCTTGAGATTATAATTTAATTACAAATTTTCTCCCTTCTCTTTTCTCACTTTAGACCCTCCAATATACCCTTTGCCATTCAGTCCCCTTCAAATTCATGGCCTCTTTCTTCACCCATGTAGCTAAAGCTGGCCTTGGCCTGCTAATCTAGTCTACTGAGAGCTCAAATTACAAACCTAAAATATTGCTTCAGGTCTTTATTTCTAAATCATTTTTGTTTATCTTGAGACAGACTTTCTCTGTGTAGCCCTGGCTGTATTGGAACACAAATTCACAGAAAACCACCTGTTTCTATCTATTGTGTACTGGTATTTTTTTTTTTTTTTTTTTGAGGGGGCTGTCGAAACAGGGTTTCTTCTGTGTAACAGTCCTGGCTGTACTGGAACTTACTTTGTAAGACCAGGGTGGCCTCAGACTCACAGAGATCCACCTGCCTCTGCCTCCCAAGTGCTGGGATTAAATGTGTATACTACCACTGGCTAAAATTCTTTTTAAAGACAGGATCTCACTATACAGTCCTGGCTGGCTGTACTGGAACTAGATATGTAGATCAGGCTGACCTCAGACTTGTAGAGATTACTTGCCTCTTCCTCCTATGCACTGGTATTAAAGGCATGCAACACCATACCCACTGTGAGGACCTCAGGCAGCCATATGACTAAGGTCACCATAGATAAGGTTGGAAGCAGCACTGAATTTTTATTCATCAATTGAACATTCACCCAGCACCTCTCACATCCGAGTGCTTTAGTGAACAGTGGCCATGCCTTGATTGAGAATAAAGAGTTCCAAAATCAAGCATGATGATACCTATCTATAATCCTAGCATTTGAGGTTGGGGAGAAGGTGGAGGCAGGAGGATCAGGAGTTCAAGGTCAACTTTTTCTATATCTCAAGTTCAAGACCAGCTTGACCTATGGAGAGACTGCCTTTAAAAAACATATACACACACACAAAAAAAGTGGACAATGAGATAGCTCAGCAGGTAAAAGGGCTTGCTTGCTATGCCAGCCTGGTGACCTAAATTCTATCTCTGGAACCTATGATAGAACGACTGAACTTACTTCTAAAAGTTGTCCTCTGACCGCCATATGAACATAGTGGCACGTGCCCACCTTCACTTATGCCCACACCAATAATAACACTAAAGAAAATAAAAGTCTCTAAATTTAAAAAAGAACAAACAAAAAACAAATATAAACAGAATAAGGAGAGCCCAGGACAGCACTGGGTAGACAAATATACAAAAAGCATAACTTAAGTTATAAAATAGAGGTATTGCAAAGTAACCTCTTGAGGATTGTTTCCTGTGGGGGTAGAGAGGTTTAGTGCTATTTCAATGGTGTCTAAAGGTCTAAATGGGAGTTCAAGTAAGCACACTTGTTTCACTTTTTCACCCAGGGTATTTTTAGAGTAGAAAAACTATTACTTTTCAGGTAGCTGTGAATATTATTTCAACGAGTTCAAGTTCATGTTTGTTACGTATTTATTAGGATACTAGGTAGTGAAACCAAGTATTTATCTTTTCACAGAACAAAGAGCTTAGTGTTTAACTTTGTTACCCAATACCATCTTTCTTGGCCAACCTAGATTTTAGTACCTATAGGAATTTGGCCAATTTTAGCATTTACTATAGATGTCCACATTTCTAGCAGAAATATTTAGGAAATTATTATATTTTACACCCAGATTATTCAAGCATATTGATAGTAGGCTATGAAATATACTAATAGATTGGCAAACGATAAAGAGTGCCAGCTCTAGGAAGATTTTTCTTTTATGTGGTTTTTTTTTATTATTTTTATTTTTCTTATTTTACATATCAAGCCCAAAGAAGATATATTCAAAACTTTTCTCAGGGGCTGGCAAGATGTCTCAGAGTAAAGAAGCTTGCCATCAAGCCTGATAACATGACTTCGATCACTGGGACCCACATGGTGGAGGGCAAAAACCAACTCCATGAAGCTATCGAGCTCTGCGTCACAAGTATCCTCATAAACACACACACACACACAAACAAACACACACACACACACACACACACACACACACCATGCTGTTGGTGTTTGTTCTTTTACTCTTT